GCCCCCCCCCCCCCCCCCCCCCCCCAAACCCAAAGTTGGGAAAAATTAATACTTCTAACAATTTAACTTTAAAATATTTATTTTACTATTAATGAAATGATTTATAGTCACACGGACATCTTTAACTTGTTTTAGTCTTTTAGACTAGAAGTTTTAGAAGAAAAAAAAAACTTTATCACATAAATTAAGACGGAGAAAACAATACTATGTGGTCACACAATCTAACTATATATAAAAAACCTTCTTATTCACTTCTACTTCTTTCACAATACTAGAAAAATTGTGTAAAGAAAACCAATGGCTGCTTATATTTATGCATGTCAAGTTAATTATTGTTGTTTGAAAAAACCTCCTATACCCAAATTTAAAGATTTGAGAACTTCTGTTTCATCTACTTTCAAGGTAAACGTTTTTTTCCCTTAAGAATTATTATGTATTTACTTATATATGTTTAATTTCGATAGACTGATTGTCAACGTAAAATAATTATCAGAATATATATGTACGTATGTTGTTTTCATATGTTATGGGAGAACGAGCTTAATTATTATTGAGTTGGTTATTCAGAGCCAACAATTTAAGCTTGGATTTTATCATAAGCTCATGGATTTTATCGTAAGGTAGTTAGTGCTTAATTCCAAGCTATTGCACTTGATGTACATATATATAGTCGCAGTAGTCGGCCTGGAATGACTGTCTTCTTTACTAAATTACTATTTTGAATGATGGTGAATTATTTATATATTTATAGTCACACAAATATCTGTGACTTGTCGATTGATTGATTGACTATAACCTATTGCATAATTATATTTAGTCCAATATTAATTTTGAATTTTAGCGGATTAAAACTTGCTTTATTTTTATTGTGGAACAGCCATTTTTGTCAAATTTGGATCATTTGGATGTACCAAAAGTTATTAAGGAAATTTCTTTCAAATTATTGGATAATTTTGTAGATTTGACCTTTGAATTTGTGGACCAACCTTTGCTCCCATCTCAGGTACATATATATATATAAATTATATTCTCTTTCTTAATTTATGTGACACGTTTTATTTTTCAAGAGTCAAACAGTTTAAGTTTGATCGAGAATTTGTTCATGAAATCTTTAAATTTTTTAAAATAAAATTTATATATTTGTAAACTACGTAAAAAGTACTATAAGTCACAATACTTGATAATTCAAAATATTTAAAAGATATATGAAGAATTTCCGATCAAAAACAAACTTGTTTGAATCTTTAAATCTGAAATGTATCACATAAACTCAAACGGAAGAAGTATATATTTCCATTATCACACTTTTTAATTTATATATATTTAGTAACTTTTTTTTGGACTTCTTTTTCACCTACAAATACATATAATTGACAGAGTAATTTTGCACCTGTCGAAGAGATTGGAGAAGCTGTGAGAGTCACTACAATTCAAGGGGAAATTCCAAATGATTTCCCAGAGGGTGTTTACATAAGAAATGGTAAGTAAAATGTTTTGATTTTTTTTATCTTACGCTATCAGGTCATCTAGAAGATAACAGAAGATAATAGTACAAAACTTTCCGCTTATAATTAATAGGCATAATAATAATATGCTCTTTAAGTTGACTTCATTTCACATTTATGTCCTCCAATTTTGAGTGTGTAAAGTAGACGACACTTGAACTTGTATAATGTTGAACAAGTAGACACATGAATCCTATGTGATCGACATAATACACGTAGGACACAGATATGTAGGACGCCACATAAGACTTGTGTGTCTATTTGTTCAATGTTATATGTACACCCAATGTTGAAGGACAAAAATGTGAAATGGGCATATTTATATATCATGTGAACTTATGATCAAATTTAAATCTCGAATCTATCTCTGAATGTAGGAGCAAATCCTCTTTTTGGAGGACTAAAATCAACCAAGTCAATATTTGGAAAATCAAGCCATTTATGGATTGAAGGTGAAGGAATGCTTCATGCTTTGTACTTCACAAAAGAAAAAGAAAAAGGCAACAAATGGAATATATTGTACAAGAACAAATATGTAGAAACAGACACATTCAACATGGAAAAAGATAGAAAAAAACCAAGTATTATTCCTAATATGGAAGGGGATGCTCTTGCTGTTTTCATGGCTTTCCTTTTAAATGTGGTATGTCATGAACTATACCTATATTAGGATCTCAACTAGAAAAAGAATTTCCTATAAAAAAAAACATCTACATACCTAGGGCGCAAGCTCTTACTCTGTCTATCCTTATTATTCTTGGGTCATATATATAAAGATACAAACCGCCTAATCGAGTTATGAAACTCATGATTTTATTGTTAATTAGTGAGAAGCAAGTAAATTCTATAGCCCTAAATTAAAGGAGCATGCCAAGTTCATTCAGCTTGAGCGAATCGATAATCGTTGTCAGTCTATAAAATATAGTAATTTATCCTTAGAAGGGGAATTTCTTTAGGTGAAACTTAGATGTTGATTGCACACACCTAAACCCGAAAACTTTGATTATGAATGAAGAATATTTAGTATATCTATGTGGATGTCCCAACATATTTGACATCATTTCAGATACTACGAAAATTTAAATTATATATATACACTAATTTTTAAAGTTTTGTTCTTATTTAAATAAAATACACGAAACAACACACGCACTGACACTAGTAATATTTTGAATATATATTATGTCTTATCATTATTATCTTGCAGTTAAGATTTGGTGTATTTCACAAATATCTAAGCAATACAAGTGTGTTTGAGCACTCAAAGAAATACTATTCAATTGCTGAAAATCATATGCCTCAAGAGATAAACATACAAACTTTAGAAACTTTGGGAAATTGGACTGTTAATGGAGCTTGGAATCGATCATTCACAGCCCATCCAAAGGTAAAAAAAATTCGTGAGTTAAAGCACGTGAAAATTTATGTTAGTTTTTCGTTGGTGGCAGTACTGACAAATTTATAGTCGTTGGAAAAGAGTATTGGGAAATTAATCAGTTAAACATTCTTCATAAAAATTATAGGGTGTATATTAGTAATCGTCTAATCTAAAATTTTAAGTTGTTATCAAAATGGATTATATATTACTTACTTATATTATGTCTCTCACACGCCTCACGCGTGTAGAGGATATGATTTTCTTATGAACCTAACCACAGAAAAAAATTATTTTTGTTTTTTGGATGTTAGTGAGATTTGAAGGAAAGAGCGCTTGCATGTTTAATATCATATATAAGATGTATGTTATTATCTTATTTAAAAATTTATACTATTAAAAAAAAAAAAAAAAAAAAAAAAATATATATATATATATATATATTTTTTTTTTTTTTTTTTTTTTTTTAAATAATAAATTTTTTAAAAAAAAAAAAAAAAAAAAAAAAAATATATATATATATATATATATTTTTTTTTTTTTTTTTTTTTTTTTTTTTTTAAAAAATTTATTATTTAAAAAAAAAAAAAAAAAAAAAAAAATATATATATATATATATATATTTTTTTTTTTTTTTTTTTTTTTTTTTTAAATAATAAATTTTTTAAAAAAAAAAAAAAAAAAAAAAAAAAATATATATATATATATATATATTTTTTTTTTTTTTTTTTTTTTTTTTAAAGTAAAAATTTTTTAAAAAAAAAAAAAAAAAAAAAAAAAATATATATATATATATATATATTTTTTTTTTTTTTTTTTTTTTTTTAAATAATAAATTTTTTAAAAAAAAAAAAAAAAAAAAAAAAAAAATATATATATATATATATATATTTTTTTTTTTTTTTTTTTTTTTTTTAAATAATAAATTTTTTAAAAAAAAAAAAAAAAAAAAAAAAAAATATATATATATATATATATATTTTTTTTTTTTTTTTTTTTTTTTTTTAAAGTAAAAATTTTTTAAAAAAAAAAAAAAAAAAAAAAAAAATATATATATATATATATATATTTTTTTTTTTTTTTTTTTTTTTTTTAAATAATAAATTTTTTAAAAAAAAAAAAAAAAAAAAAAAAAAATATATATATATATATATATATTTTTTTTTTTTTTTTTTTTTTTTTAAAGTAAAAATTTTTTAAAAAAAAAAAAAAAAAAAAAAAAAAAAAAATATATATATATATATATATATTTTTTTTTTTTTTTTTTTTTTTTTAAAAAATTTTTACTTTAAAAAAAAAAAAAAAAAAAAAAAAATATATATATATATATATATATTTTTTTTTTTTTTTTTTTTTTTTTTAAATAATAAATTTTTTAAAAAAAAAAAAAAAAAAAAAAAAAAAAAATATATATATATATATATATATTTTTTTTTTTTTTTTTTTTTTTTTTAAAGTAAAAATTTTTTAAAAAAAAAAAAAAAAAAAAAAAAAATATATATATATATATATATATTTTTTTTTTTTTTTTTTTTTTTTTAAAAAATTTATTATTTAAAAAAAAAAAAAAAAAAAAAAAAATATATATATATATATATATATTTTATTACTTAATTATATTATATCTCGATCAATAGAAAGTCCCAGGTACGGGTGAACTTGTTATAATGGGAACATATCCACTAAAGCCTTATTTTGAGCTAGGAGTCATTTCAGGTATGTTATTTTTCTATTTTGAAGCTAATTTTAGGAAACTTCAATTGATTTTTTATTTTTTATTTATTTTTCTAATTTATTTAGAAATTTCCTTCAAATTTTCAGCTGATGGAAAACAAATGATTCATAAGGTGGATCTCAAATTAAATAGGTGTATTCTTTGCCATGAAATTGGAGTTACAAAAAGGTAATTATTATTCACAAGTTTATGTTTTATGTATTAACTTTGTATAATTTTTTAATAATGCCAGATAAAATGAATTCATAATAATAGGTCGTGCGGTTGATATGATAACATGAAAAATGAAATTAAAATATTTAGTTACATTATAGTATTAATAGTGTAAACTTTTTTATTTTGTAGTTTAGTGTATATGAACTTAAATCCAATTATTATATATGATAATGTTATTTAAATATGGTTATTTCAATTATATGTAGGTATAATGTGATTTTGGATTTTCCACTAACTATGGACCTAACCAGACTTATTATTGGAGAGGAGTAAGTATTTCAAACATTTTATTTGTATAAAAATAATTCTAGTCATTCTACAATATAATAAGATACATTTTATTAAATCCTTTAATTAATATATCATTATTTTGCAGATTAATAAAATACAATGAATATGGATATGCAAGAATTGGAATAATGCCACGTTATGGTGATGCTAACTCCATTAAATGGTTTGAAGTTGAACCATGTTATGTATTTCACCTAATAAATTGTTTTGAAGATAATGATGAGGTAATTGATTTTTTTTAAAAAAATTTATCATGAAACTGCTAAAATTACTTAATTAATTGTTTTTTTTTTGTGTGTGGGTAAAAGGTGGTGGTGAGGGCATGTAGAGCTCGTCGATGGATTATACCAAGACCAAATGAGTCAGAGTTGAGTTTGGACACATTGAACGAGACGAGTTTCAATAAAAATAACATTGAATCGTCAAAAGATTTATTTTCCTTTTTCAATGTTTGTGAATGGAGATTAAACATGAAAACAGGTGAAGTGAAGATGAAAAATCTAACTAAAAACAATCATCGGTTTATTATGGAATTCCCAATGATCAATGAACACTTCATTAGTCTCAAAAACAAATTTGGTTATCAACAACTTGTTAATTCAGAAACTTTCTTCAACTCTGGTTAGTATTCTATTTTTAATTCAAAATGAGATGTTTTTAGTATCCTTAAAACATAAATTAGCTACAAAATTTGTTACTAAACAACTCATAGCTAATTGGTCTTTTAGATAATCCGCTGATAAATAAAATTAACAACGAAATTTGTTATTTCGTGACAAAAGTTATTCAATTCTAAATATTCCTATTTTTTTTAGTGAATAAATGGTTGTATGTTACTAATTAAACTTTATGATAACATATTATCTTGGATTTAGCAAAGAATTTATCAGGAGGATTTGCTAAATTTGGAGGGCTAGCCAAACTTCATTTTGAAGAAATTTCTAAGGTAATTACTACTTAATAAATTTGTGACAATAATATTATGTTTGACATTTTCTAAAATTGTAATATTAATTTATCTAATTGATATTATTTTTAAATGTTGATTAATTATTAGGATATTAAAGAAGAAGAAGATTTGATTAAGGTTGAATATCACATTTTCCCAAAAAATACATTTTGTAGTGGAGCTACATTTGTTCCAAAACTTGATGGTGTTGATGAAGATGATGGTTGGATTCTGACATTCACACACAATGAAAATACAAATCAATCTCAAGTAAGTTCATCATATTATTAAAGACGATTCGAAAACGTAATTATAGAGAAATCTGACTATATATTTTATGTCTATACCGCAGGTTTATATAGTTGATGCAGAAAACTTTGAAAGTGAGCCAATTGCCATAATCCTATTACCAAATAGAGTGCCATATGGATTTCATGGAGCCTTTATGCCATTCAACTTATAGATAATATGAAGAATTAAACAGATGAACAATCCGAAGGGGGTTTAATATCTACTATATATACATAAAAAATAATTTTAATCATGTATAATTTTTCGCCCTTGTGTATATGTCACTAAATTTTTTTTATTGTGACTCAATTATTATTATTGTTATCTATTAACTTGAGGTCGGTGTAAGAACTTAGCCCATAAACTCGATTCTATATTAACTTGAGGCCGATGTAAGAACTTAGGCCATAAACTTCGAGTCGTGGCTTCTACCGTTAGTGCGAGAGGCGGAAAAAAAATATCGTCAACAGCAGGATTCGAACCTGCGCAGGCAAAGCCCAACAGATTTCGAGTCTGTCTCCTTAACCACTCGGACATATTGACTACATGTTTATAATTTTGAAATTAAATTATTTAATACACAAAAATGTTTTGCAATTTTGGGAAATATGGTAAAATATTTCTCTCATATTACAATTTTTTACTATGTTTGTGTGAAACATGAAAAGTGGTTACCAATAAGGGACTAGATCAATGGCGTACACATGATTTTATGTGAGTGGTGTCAAACTGTTAGTCTATTGTCACAATTCAACTAGTACCACGTTTGATTTGAGGTTGTAGAGTTTTAATTAGACTTCAATTTTCACATTTGTTGTGTTGATCACTAATTGGATAGTTGTAAAAAAAAACGTTCATACATTTCAACGCTCGTATTTCACTCTCACAATCCCATTTTCACTGATTAGGTTATTCCTATTTCGCTCCTACATCACTATATTTAGTATAATTTTAAGGGTAAATGTATTGAATGAGTTATGTTAAACAAGTTTCAGAATTTTCAATAGTCAATAGTCAAATAGTGACAATTTAACCTTCATTTACTAGTCTTTTTGGTTCATTTTCAATAGAACAAGAACTATAAAACAAAACTTTCACAAGTAAATGACATGAACAACAACATACATAGTGTAATTCCACAATTGGGGTCTGAGAAGGGTAAGATGTACGAGACATAACACAAAAAAGAAATGATTTTGGAAGTTGACAAGAATGAAATTTTACTTGCATAAATATCAGCCATAAAGAATCTACTTTCCAGTAACATTGTTATATGCACAAGTCTAGCAACTAATTTGAAAGCTCAATGAGGTTGAATCCTTCATTGAACTATTAAGTTGGTTGTATAATGAAAAGCTTCAGTCGAAATAATTGACCGGATACTTGGAACTCTACATTTGTGTAGATGACCATGAATGCTCACCAATCAGTTTGCAAACCACCTGGCTAATTGTGGCTTTCCACTCGTAGCCAGACGTGTAAAGTGGGATGAACTCAGCAACTGTACAGAATTGTTTCCGTAACAAGATACTTCTACGCGGATTCAGACAGAGAAAATAGTTCTGAAATTAACCATGAGCTCATAATCATAACCAGTTCTCCCTGCAATCAATAGAAAAGAGCATGGTTTATATATTACAGAAAGACCAAAACTTATTGAGAAGTGAGTTTAGATGCAATTTCTGTGCTGTGATCTTTGAAGTATTTAAAATGAGGTTATTCTCCTATTATCTTGTGTCGCTGATGTTACTAAGGATTTCAATAGTGCTTGTTCTGGTAAGTTCTCTCATTTTCCTGCAGGGTAGGGTATGTGGTTGTATCGGTACATACTCTCTTACCAGTACTATTAGCACTATTCTTGTTCGTTGATTGTTGTTATCATCTGTGCTTCAGTTATTGCACTAGTTCATTGTTGAAATTGTTCTTCTTCTGTATGCTATGTATTGCTTTCCACAGCACTCTATTCCGTTGGTGTTACTGTTTTCATTTCCATATTCTCATTTCAAACTGTTTTGCGATGCTTTACTTGAGCCGAGGGTCTATCTAAAACAATATTTCTATCTTTACGGGGTAGGGGTAAGTCTAAATACACTCCACCCTCCCCAAACCAGTGGCGGAGTCTTGATTTTCCATAAGGGGGTTCAAAATTTGAAGACGTAGACACACAAACTAGCTAATGGGATTCGACATCTACTCTATGTATTACATTAAAAAAATATTTTGACCATGTATAAATAGTATAATTTTCTGCCGAAGGGAGTTCGGATGACCACAAGGTGGCTCCCCCCCTGCCCCAGACCCCACTTGTGGGATACACTAGATATCTTGTTGTGTCGTCTTTCTGTTCTGAGGCTGACAGTGCAGCAGAAGTTATCACTTGTCAGCACCAGTAGACTTAAGGCATGGATTTAGTATTGTCTCTGTGCTTGAGGACATGAATATTTAGATCACTCATTTTTTTCAATATCCCTTGTGCTAGAGTAATGTGCAGTTACAAGGGAAGATACTCTTATTTAGGAGGAAGTTTATTGCTATTTCAGGTAACAAAGAAAGGAGCAGTTTAATCTTTAGGCTATTCGAAATTCACCTTTGTTCTGTTTGAACATTATGTAGCAGGTAATGAATCACAAATGTCCAACAAAAATGTAGAAGCAAGGAGGTTCTACTATCTTGGCGATCGTGTCCAAGTCCAAAAGTTACTCTGCGTGAGCTGTCATATATTTCCTAGCTTGAAACTGGTATTTTCAGGAGTATGCACCTTGTTAAAGAATATTGTAAATGACACTGTGTATCAATTAAGATTAGTCATAATTAGTTGGATTGATTCTTTCCTATTTTAACACTTGTACATAGACTATTTAAACTCAGTAGCTTGAGGGACTAATCAAGTAGCGTTTTCTCTCAATTTCTCTTTTACAACCTAATGTGTGATTCCCTTGCTAGAATTGCAATAAATATTTCCGGCCCTTCCCCGGACCCTGCTTATAACAGGAGTTTAGTCACCGAGCTGCCCTTTTTTTAAAGAATGTTAAGAAGCTCCTCAGATAAAAATTATATGATATTGCTTAAGAAGAAAAGAATGCTAATAAGCTCCAACTAGAAAATTATGGACATAACTTGCTCACCTTGTTTACCCTGAAGAAGCACTCTCTATGTCAACATTCACGCGCTAGCAGCAATAGTGCCTGGATAATTCTTTGACCACCACTCACGAGGGTATGGATAAAGCAGTTCTGTATTGAATTGCCAAACCATAATTCTTGAGCAGTGCATTGGAAAGACTTCCATTTGGCTCTCATCTTCCACAACTTGTTCGATAAATGTGCTCACCTGTAATATAGGATCATTGAGAATCATGTTATAGACTAATAGTCATGTAAGTTGTGCTGAATACAGGTGAGCCGACGAATAAAATATTGTTTACACAGCAATCAGAGTTACAATAGTAGCAGCGAAACTCACTTGGATGCCAGCTTCAACTATATCAAGCTGCCTGATGGGCTCTAGTGTTGGTCGGTTCCACCTCTTTGGATCCCAAAGTATTGTACTAATGAATGCAAATCCTGATATTTCAGCATCGAATCTTTGGAACCTTTTTGCCATTCCATTGGGATGCCAACCTATAACCTGAGAGCCATTACAGATTGGACCCTGCAAGATAACTTTCCTATTATTTTCAGCTAGTCTTGCCACAACCCATGTCCCGAACCGGCTGCATACAACAATTTTCTATCAAGAAAGCTGATAGACAGAATGGCAAGTCCAAATTAAGTATAGGAGCAAAATCATCATCTTTGTCAAAGTGAGCAAGTAAATGCTTGAAAGCAATAGCAACCCGAGACAGATCAGAGACTAAAAAAGGATTTTTTTTTTTTTTTATATAGATACAACTTAAAAAGAAGATATGGAATTAAGGAACATAAGTGAGGGGCAGGCCAGGTTTCATTCTTTTGTTCTAGAAACCTTTAGAGTATAGAAAAGTGCAAAAGTGGGGCAATCAAATGCTCTTTTACTTAATATATTTCACATAGTTGTATTTCTTCAATTCCACAACTTATATGGTTGTTGTTTGCATTATAGTTATTTTTTCAACAGTTGTATAAATAATATAGTAATTTCCATTCATCAAAGTGTGAACTTCGTTGTACTTTTCGGTTAAATTTCCAGCAATTCTTGGCATTTTTCACCTTTGACAATACTATAAGACTATATACATGACAAAACATTTCTGATCACTCCCACATATGGGAAGATTTTCAAGTGATTGGAAGCTAAAAAACAAACGAAAGAATGAATATTCATTTGAAGTTGAACTCATCAAGGGAATGGCACATTTCCAACTAGATCTGTTTCGTGACATATTAACTATGTTATTAGTCATAATATACAACTATGACAAAATCAGTCAATCCTAAACTACTGGAGGTCGACTATATGAATCATATATATCCATTCCGATCCACTGCAGATTCCTATCCACTACTACCTTGAACCCTGCTTGTTTCTTCCTCTATGTATAATCATCAATCAATCAACCACGGTTCAATCATCAAAATAGTTGGGGTCAGAGATATGATCTTTTATATCTATTTCGCTCTAATGTACAGAGTTTAGGACAAGTATAATATCAAGCTGATTGTTTGTTTTGTTAAACCCTTCAATTCACTAGTATACTCTTATGAGTTTAGCTTGAAGCAAAGCATATAAAAAGGGGAACAAGCATTGTTACCAATTAGAGAATACCAGTCACACTTAGATTTGCTCTATTACATTTACTTCCCACTTATACAGATAATACAACTTCACAAGATCAAAGGAATAGAGATAATGCAAACACCAATAGAACTGCGGAAGCTCAATATTCCCTTCTGACATAATCTGCTTCAAGAATTACTTTATGTATATCACAATCTAAAAATCAAAAGATTGCTAGTGTGCAGGCTAATCACTGAAAAAATAAACAAAGAAAGATTACTTGCATACGGTTATACGCAAAACGAATAAGTAGATTACCTGATCTGTCTCATTTGTTCAAAGACATCTAGGGAGTATATGTTGGAATTATCTGCAAAGTAAACAATCCCATCAAGACGGTGTGTTTCAATGTGTGTTAGTGCCATATTCCTTAGGTGCACACTGTTATCTTTTACTTCAGTCAAGTTCCTCTTGCATACGAGATGCCTGTACATAACTCCAGCACCCCTCAATATATCAGCTGTCTCGATTGATTGAGAGTCCATCTCCACAACTATCCACAGCAAAGGAGGCGGGACTAATTTTAATGTGTGGGCCAAACGGTTAAGATTGTACGCTTGAAATGAATGGGCTTCTGTTGGTGTCACAATGATCAAAAGTTTTCTGGACAATATAAATTCTTGATCAAGTGATTGGTTAACAAACGCATTGACAACAATATCATCTTTCACTTCATCGTATACTAAGTTAGGCTCGGACGTAGAATTATCCAGGAAATCCGAACTGTTTAAAGTTGATGTCATATTTCTAGACACATCGTCAAATACACGATCATTTTCGTAAGGGTGGACGACCTCAAAGGATAAAGGTTGATGTTTAGACATTATATTGGGTGAAAAATTCAGAGAAACAAATGGTGCAAGGCCAATAAGAACTCCAACAACAAAGCACATAAAGAATTGGATAAATGCTCTCCTCCAAATTTGTCCCTTTAACTTTGACTTCTCCAAGGGCCTAGATGTTCTTCGCGACAAAAGACCAAGTACAAATGTCCGAACTTTGTAGAATACATAATCCAATGAACCAAAACAAGAAGACATCAACCCTTCAGGCGGTGTATAACTTTGATTACACAACGATGACTTAGACAATGGCGAGGAAACAAAACATGCTTCCCCATTAGTTCTATCTCCCGGACGAGGCACTGGGGACAATGCTCTTCTAATTGAAGCCATTACAACAAATCAAATGATCCTTTGGTCTCTTATAAAACACCCTCTTGCCAGAATTATCCAACTTTTACCTTCAATACTCCAACTGGCAACCACAACTAATCCTAGAGGTCCTTTCCAACTTAAATCAAAGGAAAAGGGGCAAATATACCCCCTCAACTTTACGATTTACCACTCGTTAAAAAAGTGGTGCATATATACTTCGCTGTCTAACAAATAGTGCATATTTAGACCATATCAACACAACTTCTAAAAGTATACATAGCTCAAACTCATATCAGAACATGAAATAAATACTCCAAACTAGTTCATGTGCTCATAGTACAAGTCCAAGCTACCTCAAAACCACAGAAAAAATCAGTTCTTTTGGAAAATTTTGCAACCAATCACAGCAGAATCTCAATTTCTGACCATTCCAAACATTCTTGCAAGCATATATTAATCTAAGCTCAACAAATGACACACTAAGTTAACTAAAAATCAAAACTTTATGAGAGAAAGAGCAAAACAATACAAACTAAATCTTAAATAAAAGTCAAGAAAACAAATACCCATTACCCAAAACTACAAGAAACACCAGATTTCAACTTCAGATAAGCAAATCTTGAGCTGAAACGAAAAGGGTCACCTCATTTCTGCTAAATATGAAATGGGGTTTTGAAATCTTGAAGAAAATGAACAGGAGAACAAAGAACAAGAAGATGCAATTGTCCCTTCACGTGACTATATAAAAATATCTTTTTTTAACAATTTATAAAAAAAAATAAAAAAAATGGAAGACTTAATCATATGATAAAGATAGGTTTTATCAATTATTGCTATTTAAAAGAGTTTTATTGGACTTTTAATAAAATTCTATTTTCTACTAAATTAAGAATACAAAGGATAACATAAGCAAAAATACCCGCCCCCCGCCCCCCCCACAAAGTCAAAGTACAATTGTATTTGATTTAATGAGTTTATGGGGTAGCTTGATAGGGTGTATTAGATAAAATAATGTATGCATCAAATTTAGTTTAATTTTCGATTACAAATTTAAGTCCAGTATAATTAATATTGATATTAGTTATACGTAACAACAATAACAAAGTAAAAGTTCATCGATTAGGAGAACGTAGTGTGTATCCAATTTTATTCTTATTTTATGAAGAAAGGGAGACTGATTTTTATAGACTCTCAATTCAAGTACATAAAACATAACAAAACAAGAAAGAAAAAAAACAGTACAAACAAATAATATGATAGGTAAAACAAAAGAAACAACAAATAATAATAATAATAATAATAATAATAATAATTAAAAGAAAGTAAGAGGAGGAAAAAATATGAGTACTATTAGACCGTGCGATTATCTACGGACCTTTTATCTTAATTCTCAATCTTCATGTCCTTCTATCAAAAGTTGATATTAGTTATATACTCTATTCAATATTATTTTTATCCCATAGTTAATCATAGCATTAACAATATCAATATTATTCTTATACTTTTATACACTAATCATATTACTATTTAAAAATTATATAATGCATATTATTTTCTTTTAGCTAGAATACTGATAATATCTATAATATAATAGGTTCAATGTGTTTGGTTTATTTTAGTGAAGTATCAAATGCTTGATTATAAGTTGATTAATACTATGGTTCCCAAAACTGGGTGCCTCCTCTTTAAATTTTGGACTAAAAGTAATGAATATAATTTTTGGGGTTTATATTTGTTTATAACACTATATTTATGAAAAAACTTGTGCATGTATATTAATTGCTTTGCTTAGTTGTAGTACATCTAATTTTAGAATAAGTAGAAATTTAATATTGAGTGAATCAGTTCCTTTTGTTTAGTATGGAAAATTTTTTGATAATGAATATTTTTTTCTAAAATAAGCTCTATACGCTATAAAATTAAAATAATCAAATTTTAATATAAATATTGAATATTCGAACAAAAAAAAAAAGTCCCTCTGCAATTGTTCACGTTCTCAATTTTGCCTTTATATCTTTTTTCTTTTCATCTGTCCACATTAATAAAGGACTGTCCCCATTTTTAAAAAATTTGCAGGCTAAAAACAGTAGTACTATTACTACTAAATTTTAATCGATACTTCATCATAATTAAAGATTTTGAGTTTGAATTAAATTTTTGTTTGAATTTTAAAAATAAAAAAAATTCTATTGGAAATTAGTGTCGATTGTAGAATAGACATTATAACGCATGAATTTAAATTTAACGAGACTTATATATATCAGACACTAAATAATTTATTTATTTTTAAAAAAACAATTGAGGGCTGAGCTAGCTAGAGTGGACGGTACAAATTAACCCACATCATGTATATTTATTTTTTAAATTCAGTAAATATCAGTATATATATAATAAACTTTAAAATACATAAAAATTAAATTCTAAATTCACCATCAAATCTAACTTCATTAAGTCAGGTAACTTATTAGGAGAGAAAGTACATAACTGAAGCAAACATATTGACGATCAGTTATGTTATTACTAATTCATTGAGAAGATATCTAATAATATTCTACATTTTTATCTGTTATATTTTTCTATTCGATTATCATAGTGTTTGTTATTGTTAATGTTCATTTCTTTATTAATTTGAGCATAACATACCATTTCTTCACTACTATATTTACTTTTCACACTTCATTTTTCATATGCTTTATTAGAATGAAAGTTCTTTTTATTTGAAAAAATAATTTCCCTACATTTATAAAGATTAAGAATAAAGTTATGATTCTTTAAAATGACTCAATTAATTTGAAGGGTAATCTTTCACGTGGATATATAATTCAGGATCACGTGATTCCCTCTCAATGTCTTTTGAGTCAAGCCTATTATATGTGACTGGTCTAATACAATTTATATTTTCTATCAGTATTTTTTTTAAAAGATAAAATTATGTATACATACCACCTCGTTCGAACTTCAATTACACTGAATATATTATTGTTTTCGTTTTCTTTTTCTCAACAAAAAAGTTGTTAAATTGAATGAACTATCCCATTCCATACAATTATTGTACCCATCCATTTATTTCACACTTTCTCTCTCTACATTTTCTCTTTTCTCTCTCATCATCCCACCATGAAAACCTATCACCAGCATCCAAAGCTCAAAACCTCATTTTCCTGCGGCTTCTTCCGCCGCTGTACTCAGTCGGTTCTCAGCCCTACTACCACCACCCCACCCACCCTCCC